TATTTCAGGCTGAGCACAATATTCTTATGCACCCATTTCATATGTTAGGCGTAGCTGGTGTATTTGGCGGTTCCCTATTCAGTGCTATGCATGGTTCCTTGGTAACTTCTAGTTTGATCAGGGAAACCACAGAAAATGAATCGGCTAATGAAGGTTACCGATTCGGCCAAGAGGAAGAAACGTATAATATAGTAGCCGCTCATGGTTATTTTGGACGATTAATTTTCCAATATGCTAGTTTCAATAATTCTCGTTCATTACACTTCTTTTTAGCTGCTTGGCCTGTAGTAGGTATTTGGTTCACTGCTTTAGGTATCAGCACTATGGCATTCAATCTAAATGGTTTCAATTTTAATCAATCCGTAGTTGATAGCCAGGGCCGGGTAATTAATACTTGGGCTGATATAATTAATCGTGCTAACCTTGGTATGGAAGTTATGCATGAACGTAATGCTCACAATTTCCCTCTAGACCTAGCTGCTATCCAAGTTATAGCTACAAATGGCTAGAGACTTCGTCTCTTAGTATATAGATAGAGAATCTATTTAAAATAGAATAAAGGAGCAATTCCGCCTTCTTGTCTAGAACAAGAAATCGGTTATTGCTCCTTTATTGATTCCTTTTTGAAAATAACATAGTTTAGTCGGGGGCGGATGTAGCCAAGTGGATTAAGGCGGTGGATTGTGAATCCACTATGCGCGGGTTCAATTCCCGTCGTTCGCCCATCACTCGAATTATCGTTTCGATAAATTCTATAAATGGGTGAAATATATGAGTGAAAGTAAATAACATGCCGCTATGGTGAAATTGGTAGACACGCTGCTCTTAGGAAGCAGTGCTAGCGCATCTCGGTTCGAGTCCGAGTAGCGGCATAAAAAATAAGAGTAATCTTTTGTTCTTTTTCATTTTTTTCTTATCTAATTCGGAGTTAAAATCTTATTTTTTTTTTATTTTTATGATAGTTTCAACCTTAGAACATATACTAACTAATATTTCACTTTCAATAATACTCGTTTCTATTTTAATTAAAATTTATTTGAAAATCTTTTTTGTAGATGAAAACATAAAACTTTCTAATTCATCAGAAAAGTGCATTTTCATAACTTTTTTATGTATAACAGGATTATTAGCTACTCATTGGATTTCGTCGGGCCATTTCCCACTAAGTGATTTATCGGAATCTTTGCTTTTTCTTTCCTGGAGTTTTGCTCTTATTAATAGCCTTTCCTATTTAAAAAAAAATACAAAATTATTAAGTACAATAATAAGCCCAATCAATTTTTGTATCCAGGCTTTTGCTACTTCGGGTCTTTTCACAGAAATTAAAAAATCTTCAATATTAGTCCCCGCTCTTCAATCTGAGTGGTTAATAATGCACGTAAGTATGATGATAGTGGGTTACGCAGCTCTTATATGTGGCTCCTTATTATCAGTAGCACTTATGGTCATTACCTTTAGAAAAAATGAAAATATTTTTAAAATGAATTATATTTTTTCGGCTAAAAATTTTTATAAGATTCAATTAAGTAAAGAATTGGATTATTGGAGTTATCGAGTTATTAGTTTAGGGTTTATCTTTTTAACCATAGGAATACTTTCGGGGGCTTTGTGGGCGAACCAAGCGTGGGGATCTTATTGGAGTTGGGATCCTAAAGAGACTTGGGCTTTTATTACTTGGATAGTGTTTTCAATTTATCTACATACTCGAAGAAATAGAACTTTCGAAGGTGCTACTTCGGCAATTGTGGCATCTATAGGTTTTCTTCTTATTTGGATATGTTATTTTGGAGTCAATTTAATTGGATTAGGTCTACATACTTATGGTTCATTTTCGCGAACATAAAAAAAGACATTAATTTTTTACTTCGTGAAAAGCTAAAAATTTGTGAAACCCGTGCTCTCAAATAAAAATATTTCCTATTTGAGAGCACGGGTGTTCAATAAAAATAGAATGAATTCAAATATACTTTTCTGGACCAGATCAATAAGCGAGACCCATACTGCGAGTTGTTTCATGCCATAAATAAACTCGAACACTCAAGAAATCTGTTGGGCAGGCGGATTCACATCTTTTACAGCCTACACAGTCTTCTGTTCTCGGAGCAGAAGCAATTTGTTTAGCCTTACATCCGTCCCATGGTATCATTTCTAAAACATCGGTGGGGCAGGCTCGGACACATTGAGTACATCCTATACATGTATCATAAATCTTTACAGAATGTGCCATTGGACGAATAAATTTATAAACTTTATGAATTATCGATATAGTATCCTCCAAATATTATTTTTATCCAATATAAAATTATAAGATACTTGGTTTTTAGATACTATATGACTCAATGAATTCTCAGAAGGATTCTAATCAATAGATTTCTGGATTGGTTTTGAAAATAAAAAAAAATTATTTTATGTTTTAATATTATCATTTTTTTATAACTACGCAAACTACCTACAAACTACCTAATAGGGTAAATAAGGATTCTTTTTTTAATTAACTCAATCTATTGTTTTAAAGTTTTAAATAAATACTCCCTTCAAATTTATACAGTAAGAATCAATAGACAAAAGGACATGATGTCTTTCTATTCACTACCCCAAGCTATTCTTTTTTAATTGTTTCAGTAACCATATTGTTGTTCTAAATTTACCTCTATAATAGGTTTGAAAAGCTATGCAACTTCAAAATGAATGAGTTTTTGTCTCTCTAATCTCCAATTTATCAATTAATTCTTTATAGCGGAATTTATTTTTTTTTGATAAATAAGCTAAAAGTCGTTGTCGTTTCCCCAAAATTTTACGTAAACCTTTTTGAGATAAATAGTCTTTTTTGTGCAATTTCAAGTGGGAAGTAAGCCGGTGTATTCTATTGGTGAAATTCCATACTTGAAATTCAACGGAACCTCTGTTTTGTAAGTTTTTTATCATAAACTAAATGAACTCCCTTCATTGATATATAATATGCATTTAAAATAATTTTTTATAATTAAGTTCTAGATTCATTTCATAGATATGAAATAATTGATTAGTAACTAAAACGAACGAACAAAAAATAAAGAAAAAAAGGATAATATTATTTACTTTTATTCTATATTATAGAATAAATCAACTTGACAGAAATGAGTCCAATGTTTTCTTATTTTTTTTGTAAAAAAAACTTTGAAACTTACCCGTTAAAAGAGATTTTGCTAATGAAAGAGCTTTTAATCTTACCTCAATAGTCTTTCTTTTCCAAATGTTCTTACGAATACGCTTTTTGGCTTTCGAAATACGTTTTTTTGGAACTGCCATTTCAAATGATTTACAGGTTATCACTGGATGTGAAAGACATTTATTGCTAAAAAGGAATTCTTCTAACTAAGTCTATCAATTCAAATCAAAAGAAAACCCTTTCTTTTAGGGTTCATTAATAAAATCAAAGTGAATTTTTTCAACTTAATATTCTTTTAATGAGGTACAATATATCTATATAGATCTAGATAGATATATGGTATCCTCAATTCAGTTAGATCCAAATTAAAATGAGGTATAAAATAGGGTATGTGTCCATATTGGTTTTCATCTAACCTGCTACCATCTACCCTGCTACAGGGTAGATAGTACTACTATCAATTAAATTTCCACCAATTTAAATTCAATGGTAAATACATATGGATCCTTAACATACTGAAACGACTCCCATTATTAGTATAAAACCAATAACGATTCATACAAGCTAAATCTTCCAATCGATAATTAGGCCAAAGAAAAAATTCAATTAATTTATTTTGATCCTTAGGCCCAGGGTTGCTTTCTTCCCAAACTTTATTTTTGTTGGAAACTAGAGAATTTGCATCCACGCCATTCCATTTGTGTGAATTGAAACAAATTAGAGTTCTTAATTCTCTACGACGCCTAGATGATAAAATATTTTCAATAAGAAGCGGATCACAATTATTGTTCTCTCGAGCGCGAATTATTCTTTGTTTTACGTCTTCTTTATTAAGAATTTGTTTACTCTTATGAACCAACGAAATAACTATCGTTTCATACATAAGAAATTCTCCATTTGGTTTGATAGACAGCGGAAGGGGGTCGACCAAAAATCCCGTCTTTTTTAAAAATTCTGGAACACTCTCTTTTGAATCTGGAACACTCTCTTTTGAATCTGGAACATTTCTTTTTGAATCTGGAACACTCTCTTTCTGATCCATCTGTGGCATTAGACCCAAATTTAACTTTTCCCTTAGAATCCATGATAGCATCATTTTTTTTCGATTTATCATTCTAAGCAAGAGACAATAGATTTGGAGATCTTGGAAAAGGCCTTGATTTAAAGTAAAATCCTCTCTAAATTGAAAAAATAAATAGTTTTTCATGAATAACTCTAGTTCTATCTCAGTTTGACTTTTCTTTTCACCTTCAGTTTCACCTTCAGTTTCGCCTTTGGTTTCACCTTCAGGTTTACCTTTGGTTTCACCTTCAGGTTTACCTTTGGTTTCACCTTCAGGTTTACCTTTGGTTTCACCCTGAGTTTCACCTTTGGTTTGACCCTCAGGTTCACTTTTGGTTTGACCCTCGGCTTTATCTTTTTTTTTACTCTCAGTTTTATCTTTTTTATCTTTCTGAGTTTTACCGGTCTTTTGACTTGTCATTTCATTAAGATTCAAATTTGAAATAAGTGATTCGCTTGGTATAATCCATGGTTTCAGTTTATATAAATTAACAAACCACACAAATTCTGGGAAAACCAAAAGTTCCTCAGCCGTTAATGGACGGTCGAGTATTTCTTCATTCAGTCCCATCCAATCCAATAAAGAATTTCTAGAATGGAGTCGATTCATTTCGGTATTTTTCTGAATCAAAAGAGCAAAAGGATCTTTTTCGTTTTTAAAAATTTGCTCAATTTTCAAAATTTCTTCCATTTTATCAATTAATTGATAATTGTAAGTGAAAATTGGAGTATTTTGAGTATTGTTATAATTACCCGTGATCCAGGACTCAATATTCGCTTTTTTTTTAAGAGAAAAATCAATATTTTTCCAATTCAAATATTTTCTATCGACATCTTTTTTTGGATATGGAATATTTAACCTTTCTATTTTTCCTCTGAAACTAGTGATAGGAATATTTTTCGTTATCGCAAACAAGTTGTTTTGTGACATCTTGTAATGATAAGAAATTGCTTCCCGTTTAGCTCCTGGAGGGGTTCCACTATTTTTTTCATACTGAATGTATTGATATGCTAAAAGATCATATCGATAGCATTTTTTTAAATTATCTTTTGTTTTTTTATTCAAGACTGAGTTAGCATCCTTTTGTTTCCTGTAAGTATTTAATTTTAATTTTTTACCGGAAGTCCTTTTGTCTAAATATTTTTGTTTAGACCTACGATAGCGATTCGCCCTATTTCTCCATTTTTGTTTTTGTGATCTTAAGGCAGACCAGAAATTAGGAGATAAATCGTAGTGAGAATTCCCTTTATAACCAAAATTTCCATTGACTCGTTCTAGGCCGCTTAAGTTGTTTTTTTATTCCTTCAGATGGAAGTATTCCTTGTGTATGAAATGAGTCTTTTATTTTCTTTTTAATCAAGAAAGATGTTCCATTTTGTTGAAGAACAGATATGAAATTACGTACGTTCAAAAAACCCCTTTCTGATATTTTGTACAATACATATGCTTGTGACAAGTTGGATAAATCACCAAAACTCTCTGAATTTTCCTTATAAAGCTTATTATTATGCGTTTTTATATTTGAATTTGAAAGAGAGTTCATTTTTGTTGATTCCACAAAGACTTTTTGAGTCATTTGGCAAATAGATATAGTATATAAAAAAATACAATTAGATATTCTTTGAATAAATAATTTTATAAAATAATTAAATTTATATATTAATCTATTTTTTTTTTTTTTCAACATTTGACAAAAATTTTTTGACAAGGCTAATCTCGAACTTTTTTTGTAAGGGTTCATATCAAGTTCTAGAGTGACCCTTTTCTTATCTTCCGTAATTCTTTCTAGTTTTTTTTTAATTGTACTTGTCCTATGAGTGATAGCCTGCATTTTGTCTATCGGTGAATAATTTTTCCAATCTGTAATTTTTTCAATTTTACTCAAGGGTTGATTCATTATCTGGTTATTTATTAGATCATCTTTTTCATTTTTTATTACACTCGGGTGTATTGTTCTTGTTTCTTTTGAACTTGTGTTTTTTTTTGAAAACTTTTTTAAAAATTTAATTTTTACTTTTACAAATTTGTAAAGTTCCTTAAAAACAGGCTTAAAAAACGAAGGTTTTTGTCGTGGATGACCAAAAGGGTGTTCTGTTTCCCTTCCCCAAACTGTTAAAAAACAAAAGTCATCACGAGAATTTAGCGATTTATATTCGTGCCAAGGTTTGAGACAGAAAGGAAATAAAATTTTGATTTGAATACCTTCTGTCAACCAATTTTCCGGAAATTTTTTGTCAGCTAACGGAATACCATTATAAGTACACTTCACATGCGTTTCTCTATTCCATCCCTTTAAATCTTCAGACCATTCAGGAGTTTGAAATAGTAGCATACGCCCGATATTTTTACCGATTATGAATGAAGGTAATAGAATCTTTTTTCTGAGAATTGATTGGGTTATTAATAAAAAACCTCTTATTATTTGGGTATATGGAAAAGTCTCCCAGGCTTCCCCTATCTCTAACCGTTCTATTTCCTCTCGTCGTTTTTTTTCCTTTTTGGTTTCTCTTTTTATTATTATTTTTTTTTCCTCTGTAGATTCTAAAATCCCAAACTCTTTTATGGATGACCATTTTCTAAAAAGCCGTTTCAGTTGAGCCAGGTATGGTAGAGAAAAAAAGGTTTTTTTCCTCATCCTGTCAAAAAAAAGAGGGGAATGCGCATTTGCTTTAAAAAGTCCCTCAATAACTATTTTACGTCTTTGAGTTCGCATAGAGTCTTTTATTAAGCCTTGGCGAAAATCAGATTGGTGCGGATATCGTAATAAAAAAAGCTTATTATCCTCATCTTCCTTTTTCTTTTTAATATTTTTATCTTTCTCATTATCGTCGGATTTTATAGCTTGAATATTTGTATCTTTTGTATTCTTATCTTTGTTTGTAGTCTTATCTTTGAGAGTCTTAGGTTCTTCAAAAATTAATACACTGATCCCTTTTCTTGAACGAATATCATGATCATCTGGTGGATTTGTAAAATACGATATTTGTTCCAATTCAGTTATTAATTTGTATGACCATCGGGGGACTTTTTTACCAATTTCTTCTTTACCTATTTTTTCTATTGCAGAAGATTTTTTATCGTCTGTCTCAATTGCATTTACTAAAAATTTTGTTAGTTGTTCTGAATCCGTTAAATTGAAACTTGATGATAAAGTTGAGAACTCACCAACTTGTAATGGTTTTTTTTCCTTTTTTTCAAAAGTAGACATCAACAATAAAGCATGAAGTCTATTTAGCATAACCTTCTCTCTCAACTTTTTGATCGAAGTATCGTTTATCGACGTGATATC